TTATAACTTCTTTTAAATTTATTTTGGATTAGCTAATATTTGATTAGGATTATTAAGAATTACTTAAATTTTATTTAAGATTTTATTAGACTTGATAGGATTGCTTTTCTACTTATCTTCCATATTTAGATACCTAGTACATTTTTAAGCAAGTAATATGACAAAGAAAGATGTGATTTGTGAGGCCTTTATTAAGACCAATTACATCCATGCTGATATTTTAAATTGTAAGCACACATATAATTGATGGGACAATTCTAGTGATTGAAGAAGTCATGTTGGATGATAATAATATATGAGAACTTATAAAAGAGTCCATGGAGCTAATTTTTAAAGGCTTATCTTAGAATTTATTGCAAACAACTATAGTATTGTTAAATATATTCAATATATACAAAATATCAAACACCTTCATGAATAAGTTTTTGACATTTATGTTCACTAACATGTTATGTCAATCAAATTATATGCCTTGAATGATTAAAGAATACATAAACTTAATAATGAAGATAGAAGTACAGCAAGATACAATTTTATATTGTATATAAGGGCATATTTTCTATAAAAGAATAAACCAACATCCAAATGCATGTCTATAGTGCAATATATGATAATTTTTTCACAAATATAATTATATTAAGCAAAATATTTTGTAATATTTTTTTGTTATTCATAAGCTAAATTAAATATTTAAAGCACTATAATTTGCAAAGCTAATGAAATTTTATGTTAATAATCACACAAGAGATAAGATGATATGGTTTATAATTAACAATGAGCAATAGAAGGATATAGATAAAAGTCACAATAACTTTTTTGATATGAAGACAAACTATAGACTTGGCTTAATTAGAGATGGTGTGAATATACTTTCATTAATTCTCAAAGTATTCCATATGGCATTTATTAATATTTTTTTATTAAAAAAAAAATTGTGGTTGCTTACAAAAAAAGTTCTTTGTAGTCTTAATATAACTTATATTTAGAAAGAAAGCATCTATAGAAAATACTATTGATTTTTTTCTTGCACATATAATTCAAGATTTGAAGTGTCTTATAGAAGAGTTCCATTGGTGCATATATTTTTTACATAATATTGGTTCAAAGTGTGAAGTTTTATTTTTTTTACGTAATATTTACCTCCAAATTATAATTAATATTAGATAAAGACTAATTTTAATAATAGCTAAAAAGATTGTCCACCACTAGCTATTATTATAATAGAAAAATATATGGTAATTAATATAAGATAGAAAAAATTATCTAGAGTTAAAAAGAATTGAGGATGGTCCTAATGATCTTATATGTAATCATGGTATGAAGAAAGTCAACATATTTTATTCAACCTACAATTTTAGAAATTAAATTCTAAATTCTTATATTCATATATAAATGAAGTTGAATATGATAAAATTTACCAATAATTAGATATTGAATCATATTTAGTACATATATCCTTATATGAATATATATCTAATAAAATTTAAGTATGATTTTACACATCAAATTAATAAGCATGTAGTTATTGTTATGGAATTATATAGCTTTATTTAATATATTATGTTATGGATATCATGTAGTATAAGAAGAATTTTTCTAAGAATATTGTGAAGACTGTGCTTAGAAATAAAGATACTTTGATTATTAGAAAGAACTTATAAATAAAATATTTATTTTTATATTTGTAATTATGATTAATTAGACTTAATAGAAAGAGGTTGTTTATATTGGATATTCTATTCGCATTATCAAATGTCAAGAAGAAATTTTTTGAGGTTGTGCACTTGATCAAGTTGGCAAAGGCATAAATATCTAATTTATACATGAGAATTTTAGGTATGAAGTTGTCAAGGTTGAAGTCTCACAACTGCCACATCTTCTTTGTATAGATATTGCTAGTGTATATTTAAAATATTAAAGATGAAACAATTATTAGTGTTTTCATGAAAATGAGTAGAATATTTTAGAAGATTATTACAAAATTTGTAGATGTATATTAAAAGATGGAAGTGTATTTGAATGTGGCCATGACCTTGGCAACTCTTGAAAAAAAAATGCAACCATGTTATTTTAATATAATAGCTTATCTTACTTGCCATCTTAATGAATAATTATAAAATTTGTGGTCTTACCTATATATTATAGATATATCCTTTAAAAAATACATGAAAGCTCTGAAAGATCACATAAAAAATTTATCATGGCTAAAAAGATCAATTACACAAGACTACCAAGTCAAAAAAAACTCTAAGATTTATTATTGAGTATATAGCACAATACAATGCTACAATAAGGCTTGTGTAGGATAGTAATAAAGATTATAAATTAATTGATGAAATAAAATTGGAAGAGAAAAGATGACCAAATTAAATGTTTATATAATTGAAGTCATGAATATATAATTTTATGTGCAATAATACAAGGTAGTTAAAAGAATATTAAATGTGAGTTTTAATTTTAATATGTCATTGTTTTGGGACATATATATATTTTAGATTTTATATTTGAGAATTATCAACATAAATATGATGTATTATGTGATGAGATTATATAACATGGATAGTTCTAATAGTAATATAATAATATAAATGCTTAGAAATCCATATAACTAAGATGTATTAGAAAGTTTAAAAATATGATTTTTATTTATACATTATTATCAATCATTTTAGAAGAATGCATGTGTTTTGGTATATGGCTTTGTCAAACTTAAGGATGTGATACTTAAAAGATCATATAGTATGTAAGACTAAAAAAGAATAATGGTAGGAATAGAATATTGTGTAGGACTTGTAACAAAAATTTAATTTGATTTGATTTAATTTAATTATTTTAAAATTTTATTGCAATCATTCTAAAAATTATATTGAAAACCTCAATGAAGCACAATGAGATTTAGGCAATATCATCCTAAACAAAGAGGAAAACAATTAGTTTCTTTTTTTATGCAATTGACGGCTCTTTTATTATTATTAAAATAGTTTCAAAATGGCATCAAAAAAGTAGTAGATGATCATGAAGACATTGATATGGATGCGTATAATTTATCAAAACCTACTTATGCAAAAGTCACTACATATTGTAACATATATGCTTTTAAATACTACTTTTATGTAACAAGTGCCAAAGTACCTTTAAAGATAACTAATGCTTGCATGGTTGCGATACTTGGATAACCATGTTGGTTGAGTTTTTGTGACAAGAACTATATTATGGCTACTATGGAGTACCTTAAAAATATCCAAGAGATTTTAAAAGTAAAGCATCATATAGTATTTGTTATTCTCTTTATGTATTTTTTGATTAAAGTAAATTATAGGAAAAAAAAAATTCTATTATATAAAAAGATATGTAAAACTTCACATTGGCCAACTTTTGATCAATGATCATGTTTGGTCCAAAGGCTCTTGTTTTACTTATACATATAAGTCAAGTATTTTATTGCAACACTAGTGAGTTTCTAAGCTAAAAAGTAGTTTTAAAAACCATGATTTGTTTCAAAAAGGTACAATAAATGTGACTCTTAGTATAATTCGTAGATTGTTTAATATGGCCAAAGATAGAGATTACAAATGACTTCATTTTACTAAAGTAGTCCCTACAGATGTAAAGCCACAAATTCTTTATGGTAGGATACTTTGCAAAGAAAAATCTTTTATTGAAGTGATACCAAAAGACATTTTTTAGACATTTAATAAGAATTTCACAAATCAGGCACTTCATTGTTGGATTTAGACAAGGAGGATTTTCGTTAAATTAATTTGTTAGAATTGTTATTATTCAAATATAATTGGATATAAAATATAATAAATAATAAAAATACAATCTTTACTTGTGGTTTTTATCTTCTATTTTGTATGGATCAATATTATATAGTTGAATACATTAATAGAAAATAAAATTTGCTTGCATGTAAAAATCTCTGGAACAATATTAGGCAACAAACATTCTCCAACATTCAAGGTAAAAGATAGAATAAAATTATTAAAAATATCATTTTATTTTTTATTTGGAATAAAAATAAAAATAAAATAAAATATAACTTCTTTTGATGTTATTAGAATCTTCTACATATAAAATAATAAAAATATATATATCATCAATATAAAATATATAAAATTATTAAAATAAATCCAAAAAATAAGATTTTGATTTTTTTTAATTCTAATACTATTGAAATTAATGCAATTATATTATCATTATTAATAAAAAAAACTTCAAAATAAAATATATTGCAGAAAAAAATTTTGATATAGGTACCAACAAACATTTGTAAAAAAAAAACTTCAATTTGGATCCTTATTTTTAATAGAATCTTGAAGTTTTTTAAAATATAAAAATCCAAGCTATTAATTTTTTTTTATAAAATTGGTTATTAGATTTTTAAAAAATAATATATAGATATGTATTAAACACATTATATAATATTAAATAAACCTCTAAAATATTTTAGAACATTCTCTAAAATTTTAGATTCTTTTATTATTTTTTAAAAGTTTCTAAGAATCTTCTATAGTATTTTAGAAGCTTCTTAAATTATATTTTTAAAATCACCAATGAAATTCTATAAAAGATTTTTTTAAAATTGCAAAAGATTCTAAAAGTCTTAGAACTTCCTCTAAAAAACTTGCATAAAACCTGGTTCATATAGCATAAATAAGAAGGTAATATAAGAAGCACCTCAATCTCACAATTTCAAGTTTTAGAACAATCCATATATTTCTTTGGTTCTATTCTTCAATAAATCTTGTTTGTGATTATATATATATATATATATATATATATATTAAAAATATTAATTTATTTTTTTATTTTTTTATTTCCATACGTACATTTATTTCTTAAAATTTTTATATTTTAAATCTAAATATTCAATAATATTTTACTGTGGAGTGGAGCTTCCAAGGGAGCGACGAAAGGAGAGAGATGAACGTAGTAGTGGTCGTAGGGAGAATCTATCACCTTGGTCACTGCCCTGCCCTACCCTGCCCTTCTGCCCTGCCCTCCTGCCCTCACTTGAGTGAGGGAGAGAGAGAGGAGGGGGAGGTTGCGCGTTCTGTGTGAGCCTCGAGGATGCACGCTTGTCGCATCACTCGGACAGCGATGGTGGTTTGCTCAATTGCACATGTTCCCACCTCATAGCTGAGCCCATCACATCTCACAATTTCGGCAATTTTTGTATTCTTCTCCCCCCTGCCTGGCTGGCTGGTGGGATTTTTGGGGTCCCTGGCCCAGGGTGTGGCCGAGTAATCGTAGTAGGTGGGTGTGTGAGAAGGGGATCTTAGAAAATTAGGCGACGAGGGCAGGAATTGCCGTGCCATTTCGAGGATTGAGGTCTCCATGGAGGACATCGAGGATATGATCGGGGATTTCGGTGGTGCGCCGCTGGGACTGCACTTACCCAAGACCGATTCCACGTCCGGCTCGGGTCGTCGCAACGGCACCAATGCTGTGACCATCAAGCCGCGGCGTAGAATTTCGGCGCATTCGGGCGGCGTGCGGGATGCTGCATCGAACTCATTAACGTGTGTGGACACCGCCGGCGAGACGACGTCCGCTCCGGATAAAGTGCCCGGAACGGAGGTGAGTGCCGCCCTTCGTTTTTGTGAGATTAGGAGTTGCTTTCAGATACGGAAACGGAATTGTTGTGATAGTTTTGCTAGAATCATCTTTTTGGAGCTCCTGATCTGTACAGACTTGTCATGCGCTGGTAGATGCTCGAAATTTGACCTTGCCCACGCGAGAGAGCTGCGATAGACTCTGGTTGGGGCTTAGGGTTTCTCCATGCCATTCCCTGCATAATGTAGACGATTGATGTGGGGTTTAGTGAATAGGATGCAGATGGCGTATTAGATTCCAAATTGAGAGAATTGATGATCATTTCTTAATGTTGTGAGCACGGTTTCATATTCAGTCAGCAGACGTTGTTGAATTTTTCTTGGTGATTTTAAATTTTTCAAAATGAACTTCTTTTAATTTTTATTTTAATCTTCGTACCTTGGGTTTTTTGGTATATACTTGTTCTGATTCAAGAAAGAAAGCATTGATAGTGTTGTTCTGGTTGCAATGCAGACAGTCTACTTGAAAACTTTTGGCTGTTCACACAATCAGGTGCGCTTTTCGGCATTGATTTTAAAATTACAGAAGCATCCTTATTATTGTTTATTCTGATTTTTGCAACTGTCAAAACCCTAAACCCTTCAAGATTCTCACAACATTATATTAGCATTATAAAAACAGTTGCATGCATACGGCAATATGCAATTGCGAAGGGAAAGGAGAGGGGATGGGTATGTTTAGTTACATTAAAGGGAAAATACGAAGCAAGGGGTTAGAAACCACATAGAAGTTCGATCCCAGAATCGAGTGAAAGCACATCTTTGTCTTAATATTCAATGTGCGGTACTGAAGTGCTTGGTGTGAACCTGTTGCAAAAAGCATTACCATTATGCTTGGTGTGAACTTGTTCACTTTGATTTTCCAAAAAGCGTTCCGTGAAGCCTAATCGCCAGCAATTTTCTTACCTGTGTTTAACGAGAGGAATTTTGAGGTTGTTTAAGTGACTTGGTCTTGAATTCAATCAACCGCAGCTGGAATTGACACTATCATCCGTTAATATTTGATATTACAATGTGATGGTGGCGATTCTCGTAATAGGTGGTTATATTTTTGTGATAGAAGAATACGTCATCAGACCTTTGTTAGATTAAGGAACTTGCATTTAGCCACCGGGATATGGTTCGACGTGGACTTGAGCTGTATTTACTTATACTGTGCACAATGTTTGTGGAACAGAGTGACAGCGAGTACATGGCTGGGCAGTTGTCAGATTATGGATATAGTGTCACGGATGCTCCCGACGGTGCTGACCTGTGGCTTATCAACACGTAGGAATTCTCACATGACGCACTTTGTTTCATTTCGTAACTCTTGTTATGAGTTGGATTTTTGGAGTGTAAAGAATATTATACTTAATCTTCGTTTTCAATGCTTAGCTGCACGGTCAAGAACCCAAGTCAATCAGCTATGGAGAACCTCATTCGCAAAGGTAAAGACGCCGGGAAACCACTTGTAGTAGCGGGCTGTGTTCCTCAAGGTGACAAAAACCTGAAAGACCTAGAAGGAGTCAGTGTGGTGGGGGTTCAACAAATTGATAGAGTTGTTGAAGTTGTAGAAGAGACACTCAAGGGCCATGAGGTTCGACTACTTCGACGCAGTTCTCTCCCTTCTCTTGATCTTCCCAAAGTATGTGAAAACTTTCCACCAATTAAAACCTCTGTCGGTGATTTTAAACTCAATCACAAAGTCCCATGTTTGTACGAAAGTATGCTTTTTCTTGAATCGTTTCTGGTTCTTTTCTCGAAGTTCTTGCAGCGGCAATTAGCGTCTTTGTTCCCATTATTTGGACATCACGTTCACATCCTCTATGTATTTAAGTGAGGTGAGGACGAGTGGTACTGTTATGCTTTTTGTAATCGTCACGGCACAACTTTCGGAATTCTATGTATAGCCGTCTAAAATTGGTTATTTTCTGTTGTGGGGGGTGCTTACAGGTTAGAAAGAATAAGTTTGTGGAGATAGTGCCTATCAACGTGGGTTGTCTCGGTGCATGTACTTACTGTAAGACCAAGCATGCACGTGGACATCTTGGGAGCTATCCTTTGGCATCGTTGGTATTCTTTTCGTCCCTCAACAGAAATCTTTAATTTATGTGGGTTGGGCGATCTGAGGAGTCCTGTTGCATAGTGTACCTCATTTTCTCATGAGTCGTGCCTCAACTTGTCTGACATAGTTTGTAAATGTACTGACTACCCAAACATTTCTTCTTGGTTCGGGTTTGGTGAAGGTGGATAGGGTGAAGGGAGTGGTTGCCGAAGGTGTGAAGGAGATATGGCTCAGTAGTGAAGATACTGGCGCTTATGGTGCCTCCTTTATCCTCTTCTTTACAATAATGTTTCTGGGTTGCAGTGTTGGAAATTTATGTATGTACTGTCTTGTTGTTTGCCTTTTGCACATAATTCAATGCATTTTACTTATTTGTGATGCAGGAATAGATTTGGGAACGGATTTGCCAACACTTCTCAATGCATTGGTGGATGTTCTTCCTAAAGACCGTAGCTGCATGCTGCGGATTGGCATGACTAATCCACCTTACATTTTGAAACATCTTGAGAGCATTGCTGCCATTTTGAATCATCCATGCGTTTACTCATTCCTTCATGTCCCTGTGCAGTCTGGCAGTGACAATGTCTTGTGTGTAAGCTTTCTGAGACCTCAACTATCTCCTGCATTAGTCGAAAATTTGACGTCATCTTAGCATGTTTTTGTCCTCATGAACAACAGTACCTACAGAATCCGAAAGGATTATATGCTACGCTTGCAGTAAACTTGCCAGTTTCTTGGGATATACAAAGTGAACGACTCAATTGTTTTAAGGCCTTATTAACATACCTATTATATGTGAAAGCAGGCAATGAATCGAGAATACACAGTTAGTGATTTCAAGAAAGTAGCAGACACTTTGCTGCGTCTTGTGCCAGACTTGCACCTCGCAACTGACATCATATGTGGATTTCCTGGTAATGTCACCATTTTCACTCGAATGAATCTGCACGTATCACTTCCTTTCTGCTAAAGAAAGACTATGACTTCTGTTTGTATCTTCTAATTTTCATTAACTTTTCCATGAGCTGAGAAATTCAATTTCTCATTTTTCTGCTTAATACAAGGGCCATACATTGGTAGACATTAAGTGGGATTCGATCAAGTATTTTATCGTATTCCTAATGTTCCATTGTAAAATGTTGCAGGAGAAACTTCTGAGGACTTTGAAGCTACAATGGCATTAGTAAAAGAATATAAATTTTCTCAATTGCATATATCTCAGTTCTATCCTCGCCCAGGTATGTTATTATTTCTGCTTCAAATTCTTTTGCTTATATCGAAGCAGTTAAACTTAAGTGATTACTTATAATATTTCGTCCAAGCAATGGCAACTGTCAATGGTTTTGCATCTTGGATTTGTTGGTGAGATTGTACTATACTCTGAAGATCCAGAAACACACCTTCGATTATGCATCTTGTGATGCTATGTTCAGGTACCCCAGCTGCAAGGATGAAACGAGTTCCTACGGCAGAAGTAAAGAAGAGGAGTCGTGAACTCACTACACTCTTTGAATCCTTCAACCCTTATTCAGGGATGGAGGGCAAAGAGCAAAGAGTGTGGGTGACTGATGTAGCTTCTGACGGGGTTCATCTTGTAAGCCCCTTCTCTTTTTCTTTTTTAATTGTTTTTGAGTTTTTATTTAGTTTTTATTTTTTATTTTATTTTATTTTATTTTATTTTCCCGCTTCTCGGTGGTTTAGAACTAATACTATATAATTCCAACTTGCTGAATAGCTTGTGTAATCCTTCTGTTAGTCAATACAAACTTCGAAGCTGATTTGGTGCTCTAATCTCAGGTTGGGCATAACAAATCCTATGTCCAAGTTCTACTACCTGAGGCAGAAGGACTTATGGGCAGCAGCGTTGATGTAAAGATCATCTCTGTGAATAGGTGGTCAGTTATGGGTGAGGTCCTTAAGCCTGCCAAACCCATCAAGCAAAAGAGAACATATTCCTTGTCCTCCTTGCTCAGAGCCAGTAGCATGCCGGTGAAGCCGACAACTGCGAAGAGAGAGGTGAAACCTGCAATTGTGGAGAGAGCGTGCGCATCGGGAGATGAGCCTTGTTCTTGCTCATCGATTGCCAAGGATAGCCCAAAATTTGAAGGAAGAAGTGAGGTTACCGACTCTTGTGCTTGTGGCACTGAAAGTTGTTCAAGCAACCAGAAAGATGATAAAGAGGACGCGTACAACATCTTTGCTGAGGTTTGCAGTTTGTTTGATAAAAATGGCATCAAGTTGGACAGTTTGGAACGTAATCGGTCCCTTGAGAAGCACAAAGCAAAGTTTATACTTGGTGAGGATGATGGTGGAACAGTCGACATAATTCAGGATACAGAAACTGTGAGGTCAGCGAGGTTTGATTGGTTGCTCATAACAGGGCTGGTTTTTGGGCTAACTGGAATCCTTTCGGGTCTTTTTTACATGGGGCTCTCTAGTGGTAGCTAGGTCTCTCATTATGAAAGCAGGATGTAGCGGTTCATTCAAGCTTAAATAGTTCATTGAATGATGTCTCTCAGGACTGTGTTTAGGATGCAAGGTGATACAAGTTATGTAGGATGGATTGGACATTTTGAACAATGACATATAGCTCATGTCAGCATAGAATTATTTCACCAAAGATGACACTCCCCACAGTTTTGCATTGGCAATTGGATTCTTTGACGGAAAGAATAGATCGTGTCGATTTTTTCTGTGGAGAACTTGTATTCTTCAAGGATAGTCCTGAAAGTGAGTGACCAGAATTCTGATATTCCAATTAGTGGATCCTGAACAGAAAAGAAATAATCGTACTTCAACTTTTTAGTCTTCAATTCATTTGAGTTGGTGTCATTGCTCTTAAACTTCGTGTACTCCAATTCTTTGAGTTATCTGCTGTGAAAACAACGTTTAAAGATTGCCTGTTGCTGTTGGTCTTGAAGCTAATTCGTGATTTCTTTTCATTGGAGTTGACTACAGAAGAATTGATACTTACTGGTTCAAGCTGCTATTTGGCCACTTCACTTCTTAATCCTATTGTATCATTTTCCACAGCCTACATGACAGACATTGTTGTGTACGCTGTGCACATTGTGATCAGTGGGTGACGCCCGCCAGTCAACCACGAACGAGGGGTGAATCTTAAATCTGACATTGATTTTCCGCCTCACTCATGCGCAACTTCACTCTTATACTTTAAATAAAACTTCGTATGCACACAATCCGTTACGCTTCAATAATTACCCTGGGGTCCAACAAAGAATCTGATAATTTGCCGCTTTCAAAAGCAAAAAAGTTAGTACATTTCATGAAAAGATACCCATCGAACTCCATCGACAAGTCACTCTTCAGTCCTGTTTCGTTCCCGAATGCAACATCAGGAATCCGACGAGCTCGTGCCTGTGGCTCCCCACTCAAGTCCACCTGAGGGACCCGCCACACATACAAGAGCGTCTCACTTTCTTGTCTTCGACGCTTGCGTCACAATAATGTGGATCTTCGTCCAGTTGCAAATTGCATGATGAATTATCTGACCCGACTGTGGCATTGAGAATCTGGACGACTCTGGCATTGTGAATCTTGAGTCTACGGTGCTGAGGTGGGAGCGTGACGTTAAAGGGGCTCGGAGATCATGTCGAGCTTAAGAACACACCGCCAATGAGCCGTTGGTGACCATTACTTGTTTGTTATCATATTAGTCGCCATCGCCTCAGGGGAAGGATTCGATATCTCTGCGAATCAGGGAAAACGTATCTTGACTTTTCCCAACTCGGTTCTTTATAAAACGGTATTTTTATCTGTTTCTGAGCTCCGACGTGCACCCATTTCCATCGCTGGTGCGTAGATTTCGACATTGATACAATTTTGCACACAAATGAAGTGTGGGATGTGTTCGGTGATTGTCGAAGACGAGTCACTGACTGGTAACGGAAAGAGAATGCAAATCCCGAGCGCAGTGATATCTCTTGACTCTCGATAATTACGAGGAGGAATCTAATGAATCTCGTCAATATGTGGTGGCGACAACGACGACGAGGTAGAAGCACGTATTCCCCGCAGCGAAAAAGCACAATTACCTATTGAAATTAGGGCTAAAACTCTTGAAGGGTAATGACACTCTCGTAATCTACCCTTTGCTGTCTTTTCCGGAATAATTGAATATTGTCCATGAAAAGTGTGATAGATTTTGAACATAATACTTTTTTTGATTAGTCGTGGTACAACTATATTATCATCTATTTTTTAATACTTCGATGAATATTATTTACTTATTATTAGTAATATCAAAGCCCTGAAAAAGAAGACGCCTCACAAAACTACGAACAAAAAACAAATTATAGATTTTGTTGTGCTTTTTTCTTATCATAAAGCCCAAGAAAACATAGTGTAAATCAGGTAAGCTTTGCGTGTTTAAGTGAGATTTATAAAGTAAGATTTTGAGTACAACGCCAATCGTAACTAGAATAGTGTACTATTGCGTATTCCTCCTTTTATCAAGAATGATGTCTTTGTCAGTCAGTTTATTTTTAAACTTACAGATGGTTAATTTGGAATAATAATAAATGCGCACGATGCTTTCAAACAACATTGCGCTCAGGAAGACGTTTCCGCTTAATTTTCCTCAATAAGTTCTTATTAATGACCTCGATAATACAATCCTTTGTGTGAGAAGAATTGGACTAACCTTCTGATTGAAATTTGAGAAGGTAGAGGTTGTACACAACGAGGGAAGAAAATTATTGAGTGGTACAACCCTAACGTATGCAGAGAAGAGTCTACCCTGACATCTCCGCTTAAGATGTAGAATGCAGTGACGGTTTGATTGGTGAGGACTGATTTCCGGGGAGTTCTTGGATTTTCGAGGCAAATCCTTACGCAATCGGCGACGCATTAAGAAGTTCCCGTGTGATGTGGAATCCAAGCAAACTTTACATAGTGTATCTGAGCTCCTTAATTGCTCTTCAAGCGAGTTGCCGCTTTGATTTTGCTACTGCAACATGAGGCTTTTGTAATCGAATAGCACCTTTGCGGTCACAGAAACTGCATATGTGTATATATATATATATATTTTGTATATACTATTTTTCATTGATGGTGCGCTATTTCACCTTAAACCGCAATGATGACTTCCTCGATTGCATTAGCGAGAAAGAAACGAAACAGCACACAGCTTGATCTGTGAAGTTGTCTGCTATCACGGGAAACACCTTCACGCGGTCTGTTGCGAGCCATTTTGAAACCGAAAATGCGCTGGTTTGAACTTAGCCTACATTGAATCACATCGCACTAAAGTTGCCCTTCGGCCCTCGGCTGTATACTTCATGCCTTTTTCGACATCTTTCAGATAATCTGAAGAGGTGTATTCCCTGCCGTCGCTTGTATACTAATGGTTTTACTTTTCATCGTCCTAGACCACTTCCTTTCTGTCTCCCTCTTTACTCTTTCGGTACTTGTCCCCATCATATCTACAATTTCATTGCTATCAAATTTTTTATCCATTGCGCGATTTCCTTCGCAACTTTTGCTAACTACTGGAGCTCAGAGCACATAAATCGGTACCGTTCCTCACATCATACAACATGGTTCACACAAAGATTGGATTACATTCGGTATAGTTTCGAAAGGTGCATGTGAGATATGATTTATTATACATTGCAAGAAATCCACGTACATCGTCATTGACCTTTCGTTGACCTTAACAAGTATTTTAGAATGAGAAGTTTGTGTTACAGTGCTTTACTCACGACTACAACTGAAGGCAACAATTTCCCACGCTTCGAACATCCTCCTCCCTTTATGTAAATATTCAACTTCCATGGGCACCATAGCCTCACCTCATAAATGGAATTTTCCAGAAGGTCCCAGTTCCTCCAGCTGTTCTAAAAAGTTTAATGCAATGGTGCCCTTTACGACTACAACAAATATCTTTTCAGCCCAGTAATACGGTTTAGTTAAACAAACCTTGTTTAATGAGCGTACTAGTGAGGCAACAGAATGCAATTAGTAAGACTAGCAAACGAAAAAGAGGGGGGGGGGAAGATAACTTGGAACCTGTCGCATTGTTTTGTAATCCACCGCGCGGTAGCGCAGCTTTTTTCAAACTATTTGTTTCAGCCCCGCTCTTCTTCCTCGTGTCTGCTTCCCCTCCTCCCTGTGCAATCTTACTTCTGCCCAGTAGCGCTTCTCTTCGCGCCGCCAGTGTTTTTTTTTTTTTTTCTTCTTCTCTTTTCTTTTTTGTTGTCCTTCAATTTGCGCGAGTAGCAATGTCAGGCGTTGAGGACGGCAGCAAAATGGCCAACAATCAGACCAATACTCAGGATCAGGAGGAGAAGAAGCCGCTCGACGGTGCGGGGCAGCATATCAACCTCAAAGTTAAAGGACAGGTCGGTTTCGGTTGGTAGTGACGAGAAAGATGGTATTCAAAACGTGTGTAAAGTTTTTGTGTGAGAGGACTGGGGTTAGTGGTTGAGCTTTGGTGACGCCGAGTTTAATTTGGGAGTGGTTTGGGCATTTTCGTCGATAAGGTGTTAGGGTTTGTTGCATTCTTTTCTCTGTAAAGACGTAGGGTTTTAATGAATTTGCATGGATTTTCATGGAGACGCGTTTGCTTGTACTTCATGGAGGTAGCGGTAGGATCTGAAATGTTGCTTTATTTTATTTTTTTCCCCTGGTGTTTCTTTGACGTTTTAGTTCTCGGCAGTGCGTCTTTCTATGTGGTTTTCCGAGGACAATGCTCGTAAATGTGCAGCCATGCTATTTGTTATGACTGTAGATCTTTCTCTCCTCTTTGGTTTTAGTTCTTGGGAAAGCGTTTTAAAAGAAGTGAATGAATAGAAAGGGTTACACCCTAGAGGGTCGGTTTCCAGTAGTTTAAATGCAACCGGACTCAATACTCGGGGTTTTAGTAAGGGCTGTGTTGCCCACTTGATTTTAAGTATCTGGCCTTGTTTGTTGTTAGAATACCGCTGTACTTTGGGTATCTCTTTAGTCGAAAAAGTTTCTGCTCAGTTTACGCAGGTTGTGTTCCGTTCATATTTTTCGTCGTGGTGTGTCGACGTAAGCACGAGATGACGATTGGCAGCATTCTAATTTATAGATCAACACCGTATTAATTTGGCAGCGTTGGTTGTCATGATGTAGGATGGAGGAGAGGTGTTCTTCCGGATTAAGAGCACTGCAACGCTTCGGAAGCTGATGAACGCGTACTGTGATCGCCAATCTGTGGATCCCTCATCTATTGCGTTTCTTTTCGATGGCAGACGCCTTCGAGCTGATCAGACCCCTGCGGAGGTATGCATTTCAAGTTACTGTATATTTATCTTGTTCTCAGTAGTAGAATTTTAGCATCCCGTGGCTTTGTTTTTCTGTCGAGATGGACGGTTCACTTGATTCAACTTTCTCGATTTACTCACTTACCTGTCTAATTTTGTTTCCAAATGTTTTGTGTTTTAACATAAGAATTTTCCACGTTGATGTGACAGCTTGAAATGGAAGATGGAGATGAGATCGATGCCATGCTTCATCAAACTGGTGGAAATGCTTGCTGACTTGAATGCCGATGCAGGAGTTCGAACATCGTGTACAATATAGGGGAGTGATTTTTCATCAATTCATAAATGTTTTTCCAACGTAAAGCACAGCTGTCACTCCTAATGGTCTTGTCTCACGAATTACCTCATGGGTGTTGTTTACCGATCAGTTTTACTCCTGCTACTGGAGTGAAAAAACGTTGGTTCGTCGAAACGTAGAACCGTCTTGTCATTGTTTGGAGTATGTTGAGCGATAGATGCGGGGCAGAGATCTTCTTCACTGGCCATCTGGTTAGTTTGTGCGAGTTTCGCTCATTAGTAAATCCGCAACACTGCACTCTACATGTTAGCTCTAGCAGGTGTGCTAGACTTCGTTTACCTTGATCTAGAACAAAACTTTGATGGTAATTCTATATGTTCTCGCTTGTCTTGCATTAGCGTTCATGTTGTCTACATTCCAGATGTTCCTGTCTCGTGGTGGATGATCTTGTTGAGGCTGTTGTCGATAATAAATAACGTCGCCATGCTTCCAGTTATCTTAATTAGACTTTTATATGAAGCCCTGCAGTGGGCCGTATATTTCAACGTGACATTGTAGTGGGTATGTTCATGCAGAGTGTGTGCAGAGTAAGAAGTATGGAATGATGAGACATAGGGCAGAGTATGTTGAAAGTTATCTGAGAATGCCACTATCTCATCAAAGCGGTCACTGTCCAAATCTTCTCCTGTCGTCGCGTCATTTGCCTGTACTCTTGCTGTCACTTTTCTCAGTGCTCCATATTTTGGTTCGTCTAGTGTCCCGTTCATTACCCTCCATCTTATCACAAATGTCTGCTAGTGAGACGAGGATATTCTTGTATAACCATCAAGGTCTTGCTTGGAACTTTGATGGTTTAGAAGACTCATCACCAAAAAGGAACCCACCATGTCATGCGAACCCTGTTCCACACTATCCTTCATGTCTTGTAAGATTCATGTGCCGTACTTTGTCCCAAGGCCATGTATGATATGTTTTGCCTCATGTAGCATGGCAGTAATATATCTGCATGCTGGTAGAGTTCATAATCTCTTGAAGTTGAGCTTCTATCTAGTCATTATTTACTTCCATTCAAGACCACGTGTTTTTTTAAATTGAATTTACATCCAGAATTAACACTCTTTTTCTTGCAGAAATATGGTATTGAAAGGAATCAACTTCAAATTAGAAATAATTGGACTTAATACTTAATATCAATTCTATTAGAGTGCAAAGCAATAGTGCACATTTTAATTAATGATGAATTAGGATTGGCTTACTAAATAAACTCTCGATGTTAATTTGAGACAATATACATATATTTATAATTTATTCTTTTTGAGATGTAGCAAGAAGAGTGTATAATTTTGTTAACCAAAGAAATTGTTGCTCTTGATCCTTTACACTGAATTCTACAGAATCAAAGTTTAAATTAATTTATTGCAACCAGTAAACAGAATAATGTATAAGATTTTTACCATTTATAGCATATAAAAAATATAAATTTGATTGTGTAAAAAAATATTGAATATGTCATAATTATCTTGTTAAAAGGTTCTTGTAAGATTCTTTTTTATTTTTGTATTGAAAGTTATCAAATGGCACTAATTTATTATACAAGCTTTATGTTTTTAGTATTACTTCTAATATATTACTCTACATCTACAATAATTTTACAATATTTTTAAAAATATCCATTTCTTTAATCTTAAAATATAAATAAAAAAAATTACACATCTAAATATTTTTCAATAATTTTAAAAGATAGCTATAAAATCCTTACATAAGCAAAGTTACCTTATGAACTTACAAATATGTAGAAACTATCCACAAATGCGTCCCAATACCAATCATATAATTGTTTAACTTCTTACACATGATCATAGTGATTCACAAGAGTAAAACAATAGAGCTATTTATTTTGAAATACTTTTTACAAAAGTTGCAATCTTTGAATTTCTTTTATTTTGCTCCTTCTTTTTGATCCAAGAATACTTAAAAAGTTTACAAATATTCTATATATATATATATATATATATATAGGATATTCCTAATACCAACTCACGTTTTGCTACCACCACAATTTGCCATTCACCATATGTCATTATAGGTTTTGCTATTTCCACCACAATCTTATACTTATTATATTTTAAATTATTTTTTTATTATAATTAAATATATCTTTTATATAATTTGAAAAGAAAAAAAAATAGTGTCAATTTTTGTTATTGCCACCACAACTTTTTACTTGGTTTTTAAGTTTTTTCTTTTTTCTTTTTTTTTTTCTTTTCTTCTTCTTCCAATCAAAAATCATGTTCAATCAAATGGTTTAAAAGATATTGAATAAAGAAAATTTTATTAGTTCAAAAGGTATTGAACAAAGGTAGCATGTAGTGAATAGGGGATTATAATAGCAGTAGAAAAAAATTGTGGTGGTATTAGCACTACCAAATAAATGAATTAAAAAAAATATATCTATATCTATATATATATATATATATATATATTAGAAATATCAATAATTTTTAAAATTAAACTTATATATATATATATATATATAGAAACTTGTTAAAGTTATACTCCAATTTTGTTAAAGCTACACCTCCTTGTTCATGTTATGATTAATTCAGACTTTTGTTACACTATCACATGCAATGTACTCATGACTAATGAACTAGATCATTATCCTCACGAGTGCAGAAGACAACCTTGTCCAGACTGCCCAAGACTCTCCTCTGCGCAAGACTCTCCTCATGAGTGTAGAGGGTAGTTCCATCTTTTACTTCTATATCCGACCTCATTCCTTTTAAAGTTGGTTGGTTCAGCTACCATGATGCTATTTGCATCATACATATCTAATGGGTCAAAGATGGGCCTTAAATCCAAATTCCATTTTGATGCTTGAGAATGTCAAAAACCTCTTAATTGCTCACTTCTTATCTACAATGATGCCCTTAGATTTGTAAATACTTTGCAAATGGCTCTATCACAATTAGAGCTTCCTTTGAAAAGCATTGTCCTTTCTTAAAATTTAAAGTATTTTATTTTGATGAAAAGAATTTATTTGTATAAATATAGGTAGTATTTTTTTCCAACTTCTTCACAATTGGCCATACTTATGGACTAGGCATCACGAGGACTTTCATTCCAAACAACCCAACAAATACAATTAATTACTTAGATGGCATTTGTGTAGGGACCAAAACATATATAAAATAAGCTTAGTTTGAGAAATATTTTCTTGAACTTAAATAAAGAGTTTGTTGATTGTGAAAAAAATAAATTAAATCTCACCCAATTCAGATCCTCTAAACTTTTTGTAAGTTCAAATGGCTTTTCTATGGAATTTTTACATGGTTTATGCTAGCAATGTTGTATTGTCATTGTATGGCTGAATTAATATATCAAATTCATTGTCATGTTGCATATTTTGTAGATTTTTTAGAGGCTAAATGTTTTTGTTTTGTTTTGTCTTATTTTTTTGATATTTGTAAAAAATAATAATTTGCAAGAGAATTATGTAAATGCCTAATAAAGCAATCAAAGTCTAAAAGGAAGGAATTTGAGATTGTACTCTTATTTGGTTGGCACTAGTCTTAATGCATTGCAGGCCATGGATATAATTACAATGGAAGATAATTGACTACCATGGTGCTATAATACTATAGCTGACCATAGAGTTTTATTGCTAATTTTTCTATATTTCTTCCTAGTTTGTCTTTTATAAATAAGTAACCATGTCCTACTATGCATAACAATAGTTTTTAAGCTTAATTAGAAAAATGATTGCATGAACTGCTATACTTCTTTAAACAAAAAAAAAAAAAAAAAATACATAGTTATTTGTACTTACTGTCTAGTGCTAGATCTCCAACTTTGGCAAGCATCAAGACATTGCTACACCTCATGTGATACAATTCCTCTATAAGAACTTATGATTAAGTTATTTCAATCTTTTTTCAACCTCTTAATAGAGATACCATGTGCTTGTTTACATGCACTTGATTTGAATGTATAACAACTTTTTAAAGGCTTTGAAAAGTTAGGGTTATTTTTTATTAACTTTGGAATTTAAGAAATTCAAAGAGTTGATACTTTGGATAATTATGTAAAATTTATACATGATCTATGGATGAAATTTTGTGATTAAGTGGTTATTATTATGCATAATTTTTATTACAAATTATGGGCTTGATTTAATAGTTTGTTCAAAGTTTATTGAAGCTCAAACATATTGAGATCTTGGAAATTGGAATTTAGAGGATTAGTGAGGATTTCTAAGATAACTATCAATTTGTTACTTGGATTAAATAAAATTTTGAGCACAAATAATAAATTTGACTTTTAATTATTGTAAAAAGTTTGAAATCTATTGAATAATAAAATTTAAAGATTTTGGCTATAGAATATTAGCATCAAGGTTAAAAAAAGAGGCTAACCAAACTCAAGCGGATTTTAGGAATTATTTTCTATTTAATAAGTTTTATCTTCTTCAAATATTTTATGTTTGTTTTTTTACTTAATTATAAAAAAATATGCAAATTTTGAGTTGAAATCAATAATTCAATCATTAGTTTTAGAATTTGATTAGAATTTAATTAGAATTTGGTTAGAATTTTATTAAGATTTTATTAGGGCTTAATCTAGAATTTGATTAGAATTCATTAGGATTTCATTAGATTTTGATTTAAGATTTGATTAGGATTCATTAAGGTTTTACTAATATTTGACTTAAATTTGCTTAAGATTTATTAGAGTTTAATAATGGTTTGATCAAGGATTTGATTAGGATTCTTTAGGATTTTATTATACTTCTTATAGGATTTAGAATTTGATTATAATTTAATTAGGTTTAATCAAGGTTTAATTAAGGTTTATTTATAATTTACTTAAATTTTTATTTTTAGTATTTCATTAAAATTATTATTATTTCTAAAAAATATTAGTTTTATATTTTTTTAGGATTTTTTTTAAAATTATTTTTGAAATTAATTTATCACTTCTTTATGTTTCTTTTGCAACTTCTTTTAATTTTTTTTAGATTGACTAAAATTTGGTTAAAGTTATTAAAGTTTTTTTAGAATTTATTTAAATTTTTATTAGTTTTAATAGGATTTTGTTGTTATATTTCTACTTATCTTCTACAACCATGTGCTTAATGCATTTTTAAGCAAGAATACACATAACACAACAATGGAATCCCTCTTATATTAATAAAGAATGATGATCCACATCATCTATATTAAGCCATATTCATAAGATTGAATTAATCATTATATGAATTCTTATATATATATATATATATATATATATATATGAGAATGTTCAATAGACCTATGATTTTATGAAATCAATCCATCTTTAATGAAGAATATGGTAATCATGATGAATGTGGTTGCTTTTCATTGGTTGCAAATTCAAAAGTGGAAAAATGAATCTAGAGATTTTTTTTATTTTTATTATGGTTAAATGTTAAAGATATAAATTTCAAAGAAAAAAAATCTCAATACACTCTTAAGTCACTCAAAAAGACTAGAAAATCAGTGAACAATGATAAAGAAAGATGTAG